ATCCGCTGTAAGCACTTTAAAAGCAAGTAAACGCACCTGTACGCGAGACTACCCCGCGTGTCGTCAGTAGCCAGAAACTTTTGCCGCTGTGCTGGCAAAGTATACGAATGTTTCTCATCTTCTTCTCATTTTTTTTAAATGGATCACACTGTATTTTAATTTAAAACAGTATTACATTCTCTTTTCAAAAATATAACACTAAGTAAAATTCAAAAAATATTTTGTATTTTTTAAATCATTTGAATTTTTTTAAAAATTTTTTGGATCTTTTTTCATCACGTGAATCTTTTTTGAATATCATTAAATGAATGAATTAAATGAATGACAAAACACGTTGATCTAGTCCATATGGTACAAAAAATATAAAAGGTGTTCCATTTAAAAAAATGAGGTTACATCTGATAACTTTTTTACCTGACTGTACGTATAGTTATTCTGAAAACGACAGATTATTTAACAATCATTATAAAGGAACTGTTGTAATAAACATTTTTCTGTATCTTTTTTTAACTAAGCACTTATAGGGTCATTTTAAAATCAACGATTTTTTATTCTCCCCCGTATCTCTTACGAGCGAATATTTTCAAGTTTGACCATTTTATGTAGGTATGACCCAAAAAGCGCATGGCATTGTAAATATGTGAAATTAAATAGTCTGTAATAAAAACCAAACCCATTCGGACTATGTTAGTTGTTCTGACGCCCTGTCTTTCTAAAACTTGATTTTCGTCCAGAAGCCTAAATATTGAATTCAGTACAATACAATAATAAAAGAGATGTTATATGTTTCAAAGGAAGCGGATCTTTAATCCTAAGATTCTAAAATCTTCCACAGTTTGAGAAACGGCGACCTCGGCAACAAGTGAAGCACAACTGCACCTACTTTAGAGTTTAGGGATGAATTGGGGCAAACGGAAAAGGCGCAGTGCAGTGTTCATCAGAAAAATTAAATTAGACCATGCAAAAATACACGTATTCTATATAAGGGCGTAGGGGTTTGACAACTTTGATAAACGTAGGTATAGCATAGATTAATAATCTATGGCAATAGTAAAACCATAAGGATAATAATGTCGGCAACTTAAAATTTAACGTTCTTGTATAAACGTAACTTTTAAGTTGCGTTGGCATTACTTTACGTAAACGCAGATTAATGACGATTCTAATGGCTCTTACGGGTTTTACGGTGCATTACAGTGTAACGTTACGATACTTAAACATCGCAAGACTTAACTTTTATTCCTTATATAAAATTTCAAAATCTTTGAATCCGGCAGCACAATTCTAATGCAAATTCTTTACGACCTACCTGCGTTGCACGGTACGCCCGATACCAATTCACATTTAATACCATAAATATAACCCTTGACGTAATAGCGCATCCATCTTTCTTAACGAAAATTTATACCTCATGTAAATTTAACGAATTTTAGTTACGGGCGCTAACGTATCGCCTACTTTCATAAATATTTTAATTTTTAAAGTAATTCCCTCGACGCCATTCATTCAAGTTTAGTTTACGCTTAAAATTTCGCCGGGAGGGAACATCAAATACTCTCGCGAACCATTTCAATGCTCTATTTAAAAGAATCTAGAAATTAATTAAATTTCATTTCTAAGGCATATAATTGTTCTTTTGCGTGAAAGGAATTCGTTGTTGTAACGCAACCCTCATCTTTCGCTGAAACACTAACCGCAATTTGGTCGGAATTGTAATTGTAAAATCGCGAATTCATTCTGAGATATCTTATACTTTTTTGTTGGAGATGCCGCATTTTAATGGAATCTGTTTAATTAACCAATGCAATGGGTTTTATTATATCGCATTGACTTATACATAGAAACAATTTTCAGGGACCAAATAGGTTCAATCGAACGGTTATAGGAATTTTCGAAAAATTGGCAAACACGGTTTTGTTAGATACAATGATCGTGAATATGACTTGTACGACTTGTGTCCTTCAACTGAATTTTGTAACAGCAATTTTATCTAAGGAAGTTGTTTAAAATTTCGAGGGTGCTTTCATTTACTAACCCGCATTTACTTATGATATTATACCTACGCTGTGGCTTCTGTCTCTCAGTTATGATAAAACTTTATGAAAATGAATTGCATTGTGTGATATATGGTCAAAGCCATCATGAAAACGTAAACAACCCTATTCATGCCGAGAACATCAAAAGACCATCTTAATTAACTACATTTAAAAACATTTCGTCATTTAGGCAATATGTATTACAATAAAATATACGAAGAGGTAGGAAAATACGAACAAAAAAGTATTTCAAACCGTTTCTAACAAAGTTATCGTGCACACGGACAGACAGCCAGCAATACAAAATTACAAACGATTCCAAAGAATTAACTACATAATTTTTCATTGGAGATAAAAAGAACATGAACACTCTATCCGGCTCGCACAATGTTTTCGAATAAACACAATTAATTGATTAACAATGACAAAAAATTATTCCAAAACACATTCAATGAAAATTAAAACAAAATTCCTGGAAGAACAATAAGCTTACAAAGTTTGTTTAAACAAATTACTCCGCACGCAGGCGTTCGAAACAAAATAAGAAAATCTTAAAATTACTTACAAGATTTTTAATCCAAACAATTTGGTCGTGGGTGGTTTGTGACATTCAGCTGCATGTATCAAACATACAACAGCACTCGGTGACAGTTTCAGGAGACTTCACTTCTTCTTTAATAAACCGAACTCAACTGAACTCCAACTGCCTTGATAAATAACATGAAAAAATTCTCGCTAGCTGCTCGGACGGTAGAAACTGTTAACCTTACTAAGCAGATAACTGCTTTGTTGGCCCCCACTCGTACGGAACAAACTGATAAACTTTCCACAAACTATTACTACGACGCTTAACTTTTTCTACACACTTTATTTCGTAACCGATGAACTGCGCATCCAATTGAACAAATAAGAGTCACTGTCCGAGATTTGGCGTAAACAAATTTACAGGCTCTTTTTACTGTCAGCTAGCATCAGCGGCAGCCTCGATTTTACGTTGACTTCAGTATTTCAAGAAACATCACTTCCACTATAAGGTAAACTCCTCCCTCAATCTTTTTCAATTAAATCTCCAACCACAATCAGGCTTGATAACGTTATCTTTGAAAGAGCGCGTCCCCACTTACGCCGAACTAACACACAATCCTTTGAAATGCATCTCTTCTGGCAGCGATAGGAATAGGTGCGCTAATTAAATTTCGCCCGATAGAAACTCCTTATCGCAAACGGCCAGATGTGTCTACATTTTAACAAGCAATTTCACGTTTTACAATTAAATACACAAATCTAAATAAACAATTTACAAAAGCGATAAACTTTGAACCAACAAAAATAATACCCAATTATAAACAATTCTAAAAGGAAAAATAACACTGAGGTACAAATTCAAGTCAAATAAACCAACTTTGTTTATTCGTAAGTAATTCGCCCAGATTTGCAATTAATAAAATTGGAATATTGTATGTAGCCACATCGAATAAAAATAAAACTAATTGCGATTTAAATTGTTTTACAATCTATGCTGATCTGGTGTCCTCGGGGACTAACGGCATAAGATGTGGAAAGCAAGAATGTCCCAAGAATAAGCAGTTTATCAAAATGTCCTTTATGAAGTGGGCTCAATAAAATGTTCCGGAGTCCCCCTATCGGATCGCCGGGTGGGGACTGCAGGAGATTGCGCTTTACGTACGAAAAATGATAATAGCAGAAGGAAAATAGCTTAACTTAACGCATGATTCATATGGGCTGTAGATCGACACAAGGTGTGCTGTGACCGGCAATCTTTCCTGGCGGATGTACGCTACGTCCCGGTCAATGGCAAAAAACATTACGAGATGTCCCGATCTGATGTAATTCAGATTTCGTAAATCCTCCATTAATGGCAACAAAAGCGTGGAAATCTCTTAAAACTGAGTTTTAACTTTTAAAATGTAGCCCTCCATCATCTAAGCCATTCATTGTAACGACCTTGGAACCTTTCCTCAATACTAACCATTCTATTTAGGTTTTTTGTAGAGAAAAAATTACGAATCCGTACATGCTATTGTTTCCTATTTTATAATTTCAGAAACAGTAAAATTTAAAAATTAAAAACTGTCGCGTTTATAAAGTCAGTAATGCCATGGAATTATGAAATCAACCAAAAGTTTTGCCATGGAACTACTGATTTTATTATAAACGCCAGTTTTTAGTTACCTAATTTCTTGGTTTCAAAGTTCAAAAAATTAAAAGCTATATAGATTCTATATATTCTATTCGTAATTTTTTTCTCTACAAAAAACCTAAATAGATTTTATCTCTAAAATAATTAGGGAAGTCAATAATTAGAAATTAACATATTACTATTGAAATTCCGAGGGTGAGTTGTTCAAACCACGACCCGGTATAATAGAGGTATGGATACTAACAAATTAGTTTCACAAATACAAATATGTATTACTTAAAAAAATCACGTCAAATTTCAACCACTGCAAAAATACAGATACGCTCCAATGGAATGCAGGCAAATAAAACCGTCTGCCTACATTTTATTTTGGAACATTGTCTCTGTTATTCACAATCTCAGTAGCTCAAGACCAATTAGTGTTTTCACAAGAGCATGCCGTACTGAAGGTATCAAAATATAAATATAAAAGAGAGTAAAAATCAAAAATAACTCTTAAAAGGAAGACTATTAAGAAGCAAAAATATATATTTCCAAATTGTATATATTTTACTTATGAAGGTAAAAATGAAAATGACCCAGTTTTAATAACCAATTAGCATTTATTTATACAATACTACAAATGCGGCATTCCGTAAGCTTCTCGCAGATTTATTTACGTCAATCATTAGCAGTGTTTCCTTCGTACTCTTCGGTTATGCCTTAATTAAATTTTTAATATACTGACGATCTTACATTCTCGTTTCATTGACCTAGATCTCTAAATTGACAAAAACCTCGAGTACCTTCCAAATAATCTAAAATTGCCCTAATCTTCGTTTATTGAAATAATAGTGTCTACATATAAAATATTAGAAATGGAATACAACACGTAAATGGACTAATTCTTCTTCTCGATCAACTCCAAGAGACGTTTATCAATACAATTTTTCACCCTAGCAGCAGTTTGCCCGTGCGACACGCCTGCTGGTACATTTTTACAACTTGCAACAGCAGCGTTTGCTATATCTAACCCGATCGGAGCTTCGTCATTGGGTTTTCCACCGAAATTCTTTCGTGTGAAAGTACTAATCTCTTTCTCGAGTTTGTCAAAGTTGAAGGTACCATCCTCATTTTGGAACTCGATCGCTTTCCAGTAGCAGTTCAAGAATAAGTTAAACTTGGGATCGTCTTCGGGAATGAATTTTGAGGAATCATCTGTTATGATCGATTCAATGTAGTTTTTGTCGAGGTTTAAGTCTTTTATGCATTTTAGTTCCTCTTCGGAAAATTGTAAGTGTCCCATTGTCTAAATAAATAATGTTTAAAATAATAATTATCGTGAATTATTTGTATTTACCTGAGAAGCGCATAAGAGCAGGCAGATTGCACTGAAGGTGTTCATGGTAGCAAGTGTTGCAGTTTACAGTTTTAAAACTATTCTGTTGAGAATTTATATAGTCCACCGATTATACAAGACGTGTTTACGTTCGTTTTATCGTTCATAACTTAGTAAAATACCTACTCAGGTTATTCCCAGCTACCGTAACGTTATCAGAGCATCAAGTACGAGGGGATTTCTCTCGACAATGGAAAAGTTTCGTCGGGTTGTGCCCTGGTACAAAAGTTCAATTTTTTTTAATCTAAGCTGGTTTAAACCCTGGTAATGGAATATAGCCTGGTATAAAGGTTACTGATCGTAAAGTTATTTATTAGATCCTGAGCCTGACGATTCATGTCTCAATCAAATTAATTGTTGCATAAATAATGCACTAATAACGAACAAGGATGTGTTCTTGTGCCTCGATGTAATGATTTTGGTCGTTTTCGGAACACAAATAAGCATAACTTGGTATTTTTCTATTGTCCTAGCACCTAGCAGTGAAAAATGTGCAACTTCCACCTTTGGTAACAGATATGATATGATAATCGCGAATATGATAGGCAAATCGAGATGCAATAACAATAAGAGATTATAAAAGTTCAACGGTTTATCTGTACTCACAAGTGGGACTTGGTGAGCTGTTTTGAATCAATGATAACACAGTGGAGTATGGAATGTGTCGATTCTAAAAGTGGCGAATGGACATTTGCATGCATCTAAGATCCCTTTCTTTTGCCATGAAAAATAGTCGAAAAAATGTAGGAGCAAAGTTGTGCAGAAGTACAATTTTTCTAAAATATTTCTGGTCAGCAGTCATGTGCTATATTCTTGGGAGTTGGGACCTCTTCCACTTTCACATCATTTTTTGGTCTTTTATCGAAAAAAGCAAATTTTGATTGACTTTCGAGATATGTCTTTTTAATTTCAAATGCCACCCTCAACACCCAACTACAAAATGTCCACTGATTGGAATTGTGATTAGTCACAGTATTAACACCGATGTCAAAGGGATAGATCGTGTTATAAAAGTGTTATAAATGTGAATGTGAAATTGAATTATAAAAGTCAGGAAAATGACACGTTACTGGCGAGGAAACATTGAAATACGAGTCCCTTTGGGACCGAGTACTTTAATTTCCGAGTCAGGTACTGTCATTTTACTGACGAGTTTTGTATTAAATTTTACCCGAAATCGTATTTTAATATATTAAAATTTCCGAAATCGTATTTTAATATATTAAAATTTCATTTTTATATAGAACTTTTGATTAATGTCAATCTGTCAGTGATGACAGGAGTTCTTATAGACATTTAGCAATGACACAGATGCAGCCGGTAAAGTGACAGGTGCGGCCGGTAAAGTGACAAGCGGCAGGAAATGTAATCTCATCTCCCTCCGTCATGGAAACTAAACTTTCCTGACAGAAACTAGGCATTCCTTTTGGAAAATGCGCTAAAAGTGAACCAGTCTATCAGTAAAATGACTTCACTTGACTCAGAAATTAAAGTACTCCGCCCTAAAGGGGTCTCGCAATTTAATGTTTCCTTACCAATAATGTGTCACATTCCTGACTGTTATGTAGATAACTATTACGTTACAATTTGTTACAATGTAATTGCTAACATCGAATGATCCTCACGCTCCCACGCTGGCTATTTCCCTTTACAGTTTATTGCTCTGGCAAAAAAATTCAGACATAGAAATGCCAAATTCCTTGTGTAAATTATTTATCATGGATACAAAGGGTGGACGCAAACCGCGCATACATTAATTTCATTCTCATTCCAAGACTACTTATAATTATTGTTATTGTTTGTACGTAAGATGCACAGGCCTTGTATAGATCTAAAAGGATTCATTCAAAATAATGATAAAGTGAATTAACAAAGAAAACTGTAGATTTTCCAGGTTGTTCCCGAACAGATTTTATAATCGTCCTCGATTATATTTCCTTAACTTATACGTGACTTTCATCCATTTTACCATCGAACTTATAATATGGTTGTTCACACATCTTTTATTTATTTCAGATAGAAGAACAAGATATAAAACTTAATACGGAAGGAAACTCCTCAACGGAATTGTCCGGTCCCCCAGATTCACACGAGGCTATGAACAATCGGGATTTAAGCTCAAAGCAATCAAAAAGTTATCGAGAAAAGCGAAGTTATGAATTTCTTATGGGTCTCATAAACAACAATTCAAGATTCGAAGTTACAAACGTCGACATGCCAGCACCTAATGATAGGAAAAAGAATCAGGTAGGTATTGTAATTAAGAAATTCACTACGGATTTTATTTCTTATTTTAGATTGTGAAAAATCAAGCCTTATTGGAATTGATGATTAAAATCGCCGCCGATCCAGAACAATGGGAAAAGGTTCACAGATTATTGCGTAAGTTAAAGCATTACAATATTAGTGTGCTCGTACTACATTTGCTCTACAGGGAAGATTGATAATGATCTTATTACCTCAAAGAAGTTGTTCGACAGCATACAAAACTCAATCGAGGATATTAATAACTTTTCATCTGTCGCACAACCAATGACAAACGAAAATTCAAGCAAACGCGGCAATGAGGATTTGGAAAGGTCCAATAAATCGGCTGCACACACGACGGACAAAAGGCAAGGGGAAATTGTGACAAACACTACAAACGACAACAGTACGATAGAACTGCATAAAATGGTGGTCATTCTGAATGGAGATAAACAAAGACCAACTCCTAATAAAGCCGAGGAAGCACTAAAAACTAACAAATGGCCAGACTTTGAGACGGAAGGCAAACTAGTATACAAACCCAATGACGACTTAGGGCACCAAAACGTAGACAGCTCTAGATACAATTGGCAGTCAGGTGGTAACTCGGGAAGCAAATCATATCCTCGAAATTTTGCATATCATAGGGTTACTGGAAATCCCCTCTATCACTCAAACCTCGACAAGAATCCCAAAGCATACATTGCAGTTTCTGTAATAGCACCAAAACCCCTTCGGCCAGCATTACAAGATGACATAATTTTAGAGAACGAATTGAGACAATTAAAACCATGGAATAGTAATAAGGGCTATAAAACTATGGCCGCCGGAAGATCCAGATGGATTGCGTCGCCTGAGAACAATAACTCACGATATCACCTTAAATAATGTAAACGATAGATTTTATAAAAAGAACCACAAATCTATTACCTACTGAATTGAATCGTTTGGGTTCAAAACAGTACATCTGCATAAAATTGTTAACTTGTTGAGTGAACCTTTGGTAGTTGTAGCACGTTTCACACAGATGCATACAGTTTTGAATCCAAACGAAATTATTATTAAAGCACCTTTACTGATTAGTTAATTGTACAATACTAACTAAAAAATGAAATTATTATTATAGTTATGTATACTAACCTATATGTTATTTACTTGTATCTAAATAAAATAATTTTTAAATTTTGCAAAGATTTTTATGGACTAGAACTATTTTTTAGACCAAATGAATTTGTGCCGCTTTGGTACTTGGTAGATGAAAACTGAAATGAGGGTAATACTGTATTGTAACGATATCTTAGATAAATAAAGAATATTGCCTATATTTTCCAATTTTCTTACCTCATACTCGTACTTTGCCAATTTAATTGTTGCATCATTGAAATATCTGAAATATTTGAAACAGGAGACACAAATAAAAAATCGCGGTCCTTTGTCAAGAAAGCACTAAATTTCGCAAAAAAAAAGGCTTTTCTCGCTAATGTCAAATTCAATAAAATTATTCGCAATCGATTTTGAGTAACTATTGCTCACATTCTCAAATTCACCGCCAATATGTATTTTCAACGTGTTGGAGAGGGGAAAATTAGGTACTTGTAATTTGTAGTAAAAAGGAAATCTTATCTCATTGGAAGCATTTAGAAATAAAATGAAATGGAACAGAAACTGTATTTCAGAGTGTAACAGTGTTTTCACTTGGCACAACGATACAATACATATAGATGATGACTTAAGTCAACTGAGAAATGAGATTTGAAGTTCCATCAAAGAACGATCAGCATTAGCACCATATATTTATTATATAATATATCAAATAAAAGATTTGTATTTTCCGCTGAATTTGACACAAAGAGAGTTCATATTGTAACGGAAATGCTCCAGACATGACGTCGCCTTTGGCGCTCTGGAATTTTCTACGCGCGCGATAGTGGGACATTCGAGAATGTAATGGACTTACATTGCTTGCGTGTATAAATGGTTGCGGACCGAACATCGCGGCAGTCTACTACCGAACGAGTACGTAAACATAGAGCGCGAAAAGCTGATATAAATTGCGAAGTGTGAGTGATATAAAGAATCGATATAAATTGTACGGATTTTATAGTGTTTTAGTTTTGTTTAATAAATATTGATATAAATCGAACCCGAATTTATAAATAACGTTACAATATTATAAGCTCCAGGTATTGATAAAGTAAAATTCATACGATATAATTAACACTTGCTAAAGATACATTTGCCGGGATACTGAAATACGAAGTACAATTCGAAAGTCCAGGTGTGACCACGTAAAATTTTTTTGTTCAAACGTCAATAAAACATTTCTCAGATCGGGTTAATTTTTCTTTCGATTTAAAAACCCTCGTTTTGTTGTTATTCTCACGCTTTAAACAAAATATAGCATATATTATAAAGAGCTAATGTGACTTCTTAATAGCTTATCAGTATTTTGAAACACTGACTGGTCATAAAAAGTATCCCTCTAGTTCCTTATGTTCCTTTGTACGCGCATAATCGACTAATATGCTTTTTGTCCAAGGAATGTTTGTAAAGGGGAATATCCGTTACCTTGGGGTTGCATTAACCATTTTGGAGGGCTCCCTTGCTGATGTTAATTTCAAATGAAATTATTCTATGATCTGACACAGTCGCTTCTCGACAACTTTTATGTAGAAAAATTTTTTATGTCGTTATTTACCGAGCCGAGATATATACTATATTCCATATACATAATGCATAATGGGCACCCTGTACTTTCTACTTTTTTGCGCTTTTTTAAGAAGTAACTTGTCAGTTCGTTATGTGGTCAGAGATACTCCGGCATCATCGGGTATCTCTGACCACATATCGCCCTAATAATCGCTTTAAACGTAAAAATCAGCTCGGGGGTCCATACTAACAATGTAGCAGACGGTAATTTGAGGAACTTTTAAATTCTTTGAGGAATACCCGCGAAAAACGCTCTTCACATATCTGTTTGGTACATTGGCAATTTCTAAATTATAAGAATCGACGATTTTACATACTTAGGGGGGCATAAAACTATATACAGGATGTTGAGTATCCATTCATACAGGATGCCCGGTAAATATCGACTGCATACAACATTTTTCTATATGAAAGTAGTTTTCCATAATAATTCAGTGGTTTTGATTTCAGAAAACAAATGAGTAACGAAAAACAATTGAATTTTTAAAAATAAGAATGCACCCTTTTCATTGGCCTCAACTGATAGAAATGTCTTTTCTCTTTTCGATGATGTAACATGTTAGGACCCTTATACAAAAAAAATTTCTAAAAAATTTATTACAATTAGGTACATCAATAACATTAATCTAGATATCCTACATCAAAATAAAGCAAATGAAAGTGTACGTTTTTTAATTAAACCATGAAGACAACACCAAATTAGCAATAATCGCTGCAGCATTTCTCCCAGAATACTCAGAAATATTCATTACAAGCTTTCCGTGATAGGTTAGTTCACTGCCTTGCAGTAATAGAAGTAAACACTTATTGCGATGAAAAGCATTTGATTGCTAATTTACTTTTGTCTTCCAGGTTTAATAAGAAACGGACACGTTCATTTGTTTGATTTTGATGTAGGATATTTAGATTAATGTTATTGATGTGATTATAATCATTTTTTTTTAAATCTTCTTTTGAAAAGAGAAAAAAATCTCTAATGAAAAGGTATACTACCATTTAAAAAAATTCAATTATTTTTCGTTACTAATTTGTTTTCTGAAATAAAAACAACTGAATGCTGCCTCATTATGGAAAATAAAATGTTAAATAACTTTTATGTAGAAAAATTTTTTATGCAGAGTCGTTATTTACCAAGATATATACTATATTCCATACATAATGGGCACCCCGTACTTTCTACTTTTTTGCGCTTTTTTAAGAAGTAAAAAAATGTGCTATTGTTTGCGTTTTGTCCGTTCGTCCAGACCCACTTCTGCCGTTTTGAACTACTTATAGGGGAATGGTCCTATAATCCTGGAATTTTTTGCAGTAGGTAGCCCTTGAAGGTGTGCCAGACGGCCATCAAATTTCGCTGTCTTAAGGGGAAGCCCCCTCCCCCATGAATTATTTCCAGAGAGGCTGTTTTTGATAGTAAAACGTGCATAACTTTTACATACGACAACCAATTGGTCTCAGATTTTGCATACGCATGCCTTTAGTGGTGCCAAATACTTTTGTAAATGGGAACAGGAGGGGGGGGAGTAAACACATGTTCTACCCTTCATGCTATTCTAATGAAACGTCTAATCGAAGTAAATTGGTGCGTACAAACTGTAACTCGCCTCTTTTCGAGATCAGTGGGTGAAGGGATCGGGGGGGATTAGAAATTTTAATTTTTATGGTATTCTAATTAAAAGTCTCAACGAAAGGTTTCTACCAACTACCGCCCGGAATCCTTATCAAAAGAGGAAGTTGTGAGAGAGGGGGGGGGGGGGGAGAACTGGTTTTATCCTTCATGGTACTCTTATGAAAGGTCTCAACGAAAGCAATTAATTTATACCAACCATAGTCCTCCTCGACCCCTTATCGTGATCGAATATATTCCCGTAGGTATACCCCCAGAACGGATTGTCAGAAGAGGATGCTCACAAAGGACAAGTGGATCGTTAGGACGAGACATATCTATTGCGGTGATGTCAAAGTTTTAAGGGCACATATCTGCAGAATAGTGTCGGATTGTGAATGTATGCCAGGCGGTCTTTACATGTTTATATGTGTAAAGGGCTTCCTCCGCCATTAATCATCTACCAAGAATGTAAACACCGATACCATCAACCATGCTACTACCTTATAACGCTACAATTTACTAAGCTATTTCTATTTAAAAAATGCGCTTTATCTGCACAGGAGTGGTGCACAATTTATACGTGTTTCCACTGCATTGACGACGGAAGGAAAAGAAGCATAAAGTTGGTGCACTTTTTTTTTAAATTGCGGTAGTGTTAGATTTTCACATTTAGCTACAAATGTTACTTTCATCGTCTGGCCAAGAAATGCAGTTTGAATATTTCAAAACCATTGGAGATTCGACATTTCATGTTACAAGACCACCAAATAGGTACCGTCGGAAGCCGAAAGATGAGGATTTAATCAACGTGTACTTCTTCTAGACATCATATCATCCGGAAGCTATGCAATGGTAATAATCATAGGATTTAATCATCCAGTAATAATAATAAAATGACACCTTCCTTTGTTTAATTATTAGGGGATTAACGTTTTCCACGAACCATTACTCATGCAAGTGTGTGGGTATGTGAATATATTGCTAATTTGATATATTATTATGCAAGTCAGTTTTACAAATGAATGGTTTGGGTATTCCCATTCTCCTCTATATTGATTGTTTATTTACCGACTGAACAGGTAATATAATTGTAGATAATCATTTACATTACATTACAGCTGCAAAGATTATAACTATTTCTGACACGTATCTCACTGCTTATAAATGGTCGCGAGTACGAAATAGGTATATATGACGTTGAAATCTGAATAACATCGTTTCTTTTGGGCGTCAAAATTTACGTAGAACGACAACAACCAATCGCTGTCGATCATTTTTTGAATAAAATTATTATTAATTACCTATTTGTAGTCGGAATCCTCACTAATAAGTATCCCCTCGAGTTCTATCATCAGCTTTTTGAATTACCCTGTAAGATAGATATAAAACGTTGGCTATTTTTTTAAAATGAGTAAAAGAAGGAGAAAAATAATATTTAAATGCACATGAACTAATTTCAGTTACTTCATGTTCCTGTAATTGTACGACCTTGTTTTTGAGCGATTGTGAACTGATTGGAATCCGAAGATAAAGTGACTTAAAAGGCTCTATTGAGCAAATAATATACAGGGTTAGGTACTTTCTAGCAATTCACAATCTTAATAATAAATTGTACCCAGCTAGAGGATTGTTGTAATCTCGGGCCAGCCCCCTGGTGGTAGGTACTATCTAAAATCGTCATAATTGGGAAATAATAAATCACAATCGGTAAAAAATAGAAGTCAAAGCTTGTCGTTCCACCACCATCCTTCGCCCACGAAACTTTGGCGCATTGTACTTCCGATTTCATATTAAAACATCAATTTTCAACTATGCAGCATTTTAGTTTCAGTAGGTACCTACTTAATTGTAAATACGTTCCTATTCAAATCATGTACCCCATCAAAAATGGAGAGATAAAAAAAGTAATGACCAATATTGTAAAGACCTTACAAGATGAGCGCAATTTAACTGTGGAATTGTTGAATTAAAATTTTATGTAAGTGTACCTATAGTTCACAAGTTGGGATCATTAACATTAAAAGTCAATTCACAAACACCCTTGGCAAACTTCAAGGTAGGTTGCAACTGATTGGGCGTTTAAAATTAATTGTCAGAAGAACATGCCACGAAATATCAATATAAAATCACAAAAAATAGTTAAAGAAGTACGCTAACGGGATCCCGGTTAGAATGTATAGCTTATAGCCCAAAAAAGGTGTATGAGCGACTCTTTTTTAGTTTTTGGCACAAGTATAAATTGTGCACAACTCTTGTGCAGATAAAGCGCATTTTGTAAAAGTAAATGGTGCGTATCATAAAGGATAAAACTAGTAGCACTCTCCATGAAGGGCAGAACGTGTGTTCGCCCCCCCCCCCATTTTCAAAAATTTTACTTGGCACGACTAAAGGCATGCCCTCTCCCCCCCTTGAGACAGAGAAATTTGATGGCCATATGGCACACCTTCAGGCTACGTATTGCAAAAAATTCCAGGACTTTAGGACCATTCCCCTAGAAGCAGTTCAAAAGCTCATTTTTTTAATTCTTAAAAATCTCAAAATGAAGTTGATGATGGTTCTGGTTCTGGCGTGTATCAATTCATCACATACAATTTGTTTCTCAACCACAATGCGTTACTACAAAAGGCCCATCAGATTACGCTGACACCCTCACAAAATTAGGACAATATTTCTGAATTAGTTGTACAGTATTGCGCCTTATCTACTTCCTTTGATTACATTTTATTACGTAACAGAATATAATCATGTAGCATCTCCTTCCATACTGAAGCCCTGGAAAAGATGAAGGCTCTTTAAATGAACACCCTGTAGGTATAACAAAAAAAATAATAACACAATATTTTGAAAAAATATTATAATTAATGTTATGCATATACAAAAGGCAAATGAAATGTTTAAAAACACAGCGGTTAATAATTTCTAAATATCCATTCACATCTCTCGTTCCCACCACATGAAATTAGGAGTTACCAGCGATTTAAGCGCCAGAAAACTAGGGCACCACACAATCCAGAAGAATAAATGAATACTATTTGCTAAAAATGGAATTCTACCAACAATTCACTCTCTAGGGGGATAATTCATTGGCCCACTCGGAGGTTGATATAAAGGCCTACTTTGAGTGGTATATAACGCAGAAGCGGGCGCAGGCGTCTGCTGATATTGCGTTTGCATTCGCACAGGGTAGGCGGCCGCAATCGTTGGAGGCTTGGTGGGCGCCTGAGTTGGATTGAGAGACATCGGCGTCGCGTGAATCACATGCGCATGCGAGGATGGAGGTCGTAATGTATAGCTCTCTAATGGTTTTTGCTCAATGTGGTAGGTTTGCGGCCTTGTATTTTCGTACACGGCGCGCGTAGGCTCACGTGAAGGAATCGGTCCTTGTGGATAATAGATCGAGAGCTCTTGAGGTGGGTAGTACGTCCCTGGTTGGCTCGCATATTGTGGCGTCTCTAAATGAATAAAATAACAAGTTATTAAAGCTGTAAGCTTGTACATTAGGGATGATCCACAAAGTAAAAAGTCTAAAGTCTGGTCTCCACTAGTCTTTTGAAGTTTGCAACTTCTCAAATTCTTAAGTGATGTAAGTTCGTCCTGAACCAAGCTAATGATGTTTTAAATGAGACGCCCTGTATATTATTTTGTAAGAAGTAGCTTCAGTTAAAAATTGAGAAAAAGTCGCCCACAGTTTCCGCGACGAAATTTTGAATAAATGAAGATTTTGCCCCACCAACTACAAAATCTAGTTCCTGTGCATCAAGTCAATTTGTTTTGCCGTTTCCCTGACGAAATTGGTGAATAATTGCAATTTTTACTGTGCCAACGTAAGAGAGAATATGACAGGAAGAGCACAAAATTTAACTCCTGTAATCAAAATAATGTGTTTTGCCATTTCCCTGAATGAATTGGTGAACAGGATTCACTCTTTTACGTTAAAATTTTTTGATTTATTAAACATTTTAGTCAAATGTGTATAATAAAGGCTAGCAGTAATGCCAATGGGCTTACATAATTCGCGAGATAATTCGGTATGTGAAGGTATTATCCGAAAATGTCAGTATTCCACAAACTTGAATGACAATGCCTGCACTCCAATAAAATCTCAATAGTTTTACAGTGACATTAAAATCTTACAGATTTTCATACAAGTTACAGGGGGTAACATGCAGAAGTCGCAAAGTCTTTGCAATAAACCAGAGATCTCTGCAATTAATACCGTATGTTTTGGGGATCGACCCCCACTTGTGCATCCTAACTTACTCTGTGGAGAACCTTGGTAAGGCGTGCTTGCAACTGTTGGCGGTTTGTACGCATATGCTTGATGGTATATTGTGGTTGGAGGTGCTGGTGGTGGTTGTGGACTTGGACTTCGAGGACGTTTGTTGACAGCTTTAAAGCTCTGTTGCGGAACTGCTGCAACGCGTGGTACCGTTTGAGGGATAAACAGCTGCTGATGCACCAAACCAGTTGATGGGATTGCTTGAATTGTCAGCATGTCGCTAAAAACATTCTTACATAACGACAGAATGAGGTAATTAACACGACCTACTTTGATTCCTTTACAAGCTGTCTTCTACGGTTATCATCCTCGTTCAAGACTTTCTTCAATTGTAAGAATAACTGATGTTTCTCCTCCTTTAATTGCTGCAATTTGCCTTCAAGCTGTTGAATTTGTTCTCGCGTTTCACCTAAAGTCATCACATCCTGTTGTTCACGAGCTTCTCGTTCCTTGCGTAATCGTTCCTCTTCGACTTCAGCCTCACGTTCTTGTTTTTTGCGAGCTCTTTCGCGTTGAATATGGGCTTTTAGCGCTTTCCACATCTGCTCCGAGCGGTCAGGCTTTTCGGTTACAGCAGCAGGCATCTTAGTTTGCTGTATAGGCTAACGGAAAAATGTAAAATCGAATTAGAAACTAATAAACTCACAAAGTTAATTCATACTTGCCTGACTACGTTGGAGAAAGTTTCCTGATTTGCAATTTTTATGTAAATAAACAAATTAAGGTTAGCAGTAGCCAGCTGACAGCTATATTCTGTTTCTGTAAATCTGTACGCCATCAATCGTTAACAATGAGAACTACCAGTACCACCAAAGTATAGATTTCTGGTTCCTTATATGTAGATAGTAATACCTATTTCAGTACAGCAGATGGCAAAACAATGCTCGAACGTAACGCCAGTTTTAGAACTAAAGGTCGGAACACTCGGAACACATGCATCCTTTTTCTCGTAGCGATTTACCTGCGCAATGTGTGGTTTTGTGAAAGAGCTAAAAATAAAAGTCTCTTGGTAAAATAATTTATATAAATTCCCACACAGATAGCACAAAGTGATCATAAAGAAGCTTATTACGCTAATTGCAGCCGCTTTCTCTGTCCGACCGCCTGTCTGTCCGTCCGTCCGAGGCCCTACAGTTTTCAATATACATATTTAGTTCCTTTTTTGTAAATTCGGTAACTTATAGTTATAGCTCTGGCAGCCGAGCCAAGAAAAATCTTGACGATTAATCTTATTTATTATATTATTATTAATATAATTAATATTATTTATTAATATATTTTTTTGAAATTTTAACTACAGATAATAAAGGCAAACATATCACATATAGTCAAAATTAGATGTCCTCTTCCTTCTCTCGAAAGATTTTGCATTTTTTTTCTTCTTGTCTCCCCATTAGTTTAATACTTTTAGCGCATTTTTAAGAACTAATAAAAATTATTATTAGTATAGGGGAATTGTCCTAGAGTACTAAAACTTTCTGCAATAAATGACTTAAACCATGAAGGAGTTCCAAACGGCCATCACATTTTGGTGTCTTAAGGGGGTTATCTCTCCATGAATCATTAACCTGAGATACTGTTTTTCAAAGTAAAATGTGTATAACTTTTACATGCGAGTTGCGACAAACAACTTGCGTATGCGTGCCTCTAGTAGTGCCAAATAAAATTTTTGAAAATGGAGGAACGGGGTAAATTTTACCCATCAGGGTATTCTAATTAAAGGTCTCGTTGAAAGGAATTGGTTTCTACAAACTATAACTTTTAAAGATGAGCGAAGGGGGGTAGCTCCCTTCTCCTTTACTTTTAATCAAAATGGAGGTTGGGGGGAGGGGACTGGTTTTATCATTCACTCATTATCATTCATGGTACTCTTTTTCCATGTCCTTTATGTTATTCCGTCGATCGTTTCCGTCCCTTCTCTGAAGTTGATGTGTGTTTCAATTCATATAACATCTTCTTCTCATCCATTTCTTATTTCATTCAGTACCATTGCTTAGATTCCATACGTCCCGTCGTCGTTATCAGGATTCCCCTATAACTTTACACACAATCTTTGTCACTTACTTTTGAATATCAGTACTATTACCCCTTTCTTCGATTCTTCAGGTACCTAATCCACCCCTTTTCCATATTTTGTTTACTAGATTCCTCATCCTTTCCTTGACTATGTGTGGCGAAAATCTAAACTTCATTTCCTATTACTTATTCGCACCCAGACAAATGGACGGACGACAGACGGACAGTTGGACGAACGGACGGTAGATAGGTGTGGCATACTTAAAAATATTAAAAAGGAACCAATTCATTTACGTGTCCTAAAACCTGATGAAGCAGACAGACGGGTAAACAGGCCAAGAGATGGACGGACGGATGGACGGACAGACAGACAAACACTATGGACTCTCCTAAAAAGCTTATTGGCTTTGTTCGGCCGCTTAATGAAGTGCAAATGCTTAATTTAAATAGGCGCAGATTTTTCCTTGGTTATTTATCTGTAGTTTTGCTACTTATTGGATTAGACTGATGTGTTTTAAGTGAACATAGGGGTATGTTCATTTTTGCGAAAAATTCCCTGTATGTATTGTTGTGTAAACTGCAGGGGAGTCTCTTTGAACTAATGCCGAGGACGAGAGCGAGACCCTATAGTGAAAATTTACGTGTTGTCAACGTAAATTCTGGTTTACAGCAGTCAGAACATCTCGTATATAAAATGTTTCAATTTATTTGATGGGAGCTGGGGGAATTTTGGTCAAAAAGACACAAAATTGGAAAATTTGTTAAAAGTAGATTTTGTTTTTAATTGTAAATGTAATATTTGTTTGGTGCGTTGAGTATCGTAAATTTTTGAACGTATATAAAGGGAATATTAATCGTAATGTCGACTTAAGATAAAAGTCTTGTCTAGCCAGGTATTTTGTAAAGGCGTTATTGGACAAATTAGTTGGCTTTATTTACTAACAACGTCATGTGCGAATAAAGGAAGCTGTTTCCGAGATTCAGCGGGACTACGAAATGGAATCAGAATGGAACAGATAGGTAAGTAGTGGTGGCTTGACCTTTAAGTACGAAAAAGAAGAGATAAACAATGCTGATTAGCCTAAGTCGGCTGTCTCGCCGTAATACTGTTTGCGAGTTGAGTGTAAGAGAAGTATGTATGTCAATGTCGTGCACTTACGGGCAAGTTTTCGCCGATTACGGTTAAAATTTACACAAATGCGGTTCCGTAGTTAAAAGGACAAAGTCAGTGTCTTGTTTTTGATGAAGTGCTGTTAATTAAAAATCTTGTAACCCGAGCAGCCATCATAATTATCAGTTAACCTCATTCAACAAGTTATTGGATTACCCAGTTTATGTGTTAAACAAAAATCAGTTGAAAGCGTTCAGATTTATGTAAAGTGTGATTGTACGGACTATTTAATTTGAATAAATATTATTTTTGTTTTTTTATTTGTCCGTTTTGTAAACGGGTTGTGTTTATGATCAAAATAGGCTTTGTTAGCCTTAATCTTTTTCTTACAGGTTCTTATATTGGATTGTTTTATCATGGTGTGTCATAGAATCTCTTGTCATTTCTAATTATAATCAAGTGTGTGTGTCAATTTTAATCCTTATTGGAGATCTAGGTAAAGTTTAATTTGATTTTAATCATTTATTTTAATCTGACTTAATTTTCAATTCCAATTTGAGCAGTTGTTTTCAAGGAAATTTAGGGATTTTTATTAAGGCCTTCATAATTTTTCAAACTTAAAAAACTTTTAAGGTTTTAAGGTTTTTCTTGTGTCGGAACCCAGTCACGCCCTGAGAGGAATTTTAAAAAGAGAGAAGAACATAATGGTAATTTGAAATAGCTGGATAGATGTCTCTTAGGAAGCCTTTGACCGCGTACCATTTTACTTAGCAGTATAACATACTTAAGTAATATAAAAGATACTTAGTTGTCGAATGTGTGCGACATAATTCCTGGCAGTGACAATTATTTATATTGAAAGATGAGGGTTAATTTTGATTAAGATATATGTCAGAAATAAAAATACAAATCAGTTATTTGGTAAGTGAAGTTCAAGGTTAACGTGAACTAGGCTGAAAAATACTATCCTTTCTGTAATAGGTGCACCCAAAATCGCCTATTTTTGGAATACAAAGGAAATGTGCAGGTGCTCCAAGAACAAATATATAGGTAGGTAGATACAAGAAAAATCAATTTGACAAATTTTCAGTTTGAAATCAGTCAGCATACTAGCGGTTGTTAAATTTGTCCAGAATGCATCTTTCGACTGCAAACAATTGTATTAATGAATCACCGGCAATTACTGCTGATTAATTGACGAAATCAATCCTATAAATTAGTCTAAAGCTATGCTCTTAAATTACTAATAGTTTGATATCGCCGGGCGTGGAAAATTTACTGTAGTCTAATTTACGTTTTTGCAATGCAAATTCAAACGCGTTACCTACATAAATGTCTCTTTACGTTATTAATTTCGGTTGCAGGCTCATTTACAATCCAGACTGTCTACTATTATTGTTTTTTTGTTTTTGATTTTTACCAATTGCATATAATAAAGTCGGTCTTATTATATATTGCTTGTTACATGCGTTGCAGTAAGCATCTGAATTACTTACGACTAGTATCCATCAGCAAATTGGTGATAAAAGTTCTGGATTAGATTGAGCAATATCATTTCGCCAAAGAGGTAAGTGTTAAATAAAGTCGAAGACTACTAGTCCTGTGCTTTCACAACAAGGGGGACTGCACGAGTTTTTTTTGAAATATGAAGAAACCCTTCAACGATATAGCTTCCTACAAGGTTGTATAAGAAATATAGACGAGCCAGGTATAAAACGATAAGGTCTTTTCCAGAGGTGAGGATAAATACCAAAAGGAAGTGGAAAAGAGCTAAGGGAAAATAAAGAATTACAATAAAAACTCCTGAAAAAGACAGACTGTTGGATAAAGACAAATGAATCTTGAAAAAGAGAGACGAAAAATTGCGCCAGGCCTTAAATGTGCTTCACTCTGGCAATCACATAAGTTAAAGAATAAAAAGGCAAAATCGTAACGAAGATTTTGGTACCGGAGAGATATGATCGTGAACAGAAGGATCAAACCTGGGTTGTTCTGGAGACGATGAAGGGAAGAAAAAGGGAATCTATTGGAAAATCAATTCGATTTTAGAGATAGAAGATCCACTCTGGATGCTGTGAAGGAAGTCCTAAAAATGGAGCAGTGGGCAGATCGGGAATCGTGAGGACAGAAACGCACTCAACTCGGAAAAATGGGATCGAATCGTAGATGCGTTTGAAGCATGGGACCTCCCAAATACCTGGAACAAATAGTCAAAAGATACCTCTCACACACATTTTTTTGAACAGGGTAGGAGGAAAAACTGAAGATTACGTGGGGAACATTTTATACATATTATCCGGTTCTGGAACTGGAAATTACTATAAGAGCACGAACAATTGAATTTATCGACGACTTGGTTCTCATTCTCATTATAAATAGCTTCCTACAAAACACGGTTGTTATAGGCCTGGTATACAAGATCAACCTGCAACATTAATGTATCTTTGCATTCTTCGCAGGGACCGTGGGGTGGAAGCACCCACGTGGCGGATAGAGGGACGCCCACACACACAGACATCCAAATTATCTAGCTCGTCGGCACTAAAACCCAGCTTGGTAGCCACGAAGGTCGTCACCGTGGATCAACCTCCCAAATTAAGGTGTTCCCTATCGTGCCGAGGACTACGTGACACTGAGACAGCAGTGTAGATAACAGTGCCCCTCGG